ATAGATCCAGGGGCGCTGATGGCTCACTGCGCTTTGAAATCAGGTCGTTTGAGTAAGACATGACCCCGGTTTCACTCGTTCATTCGCTGCACCCTCGCGAGCAGGGGTGTGGAGGGCATGCGGGTCGGCGACAAGCGGAAGCTGGTCATCCCGCCGCAGGTGAGACAATGCGCCAGCTGCGGGCTGCTGAACCCCGCCCTTGCACATCTGAGCCGTCGGAGCCGATTGGCACCTCCTCGCCTGGCTGCCTGGTCAGCACGGTCAGCACCTGCGCGTACACTGTGTGGTTCACTGTCCTGATTTGTGGCTGCTATCATGCTGACACTTGTGCGGCGCCGTGTGTTGTGCGCAATCTCCACAGATGGCGTACGGCAGCCAGAAGCTCCCCGGCATCCCGCCAAACAGCACCTTGGAGTTTGAGGTCGAGCTGGTGGACGTCAAGTGATCTGATCTGGCCTCAGGTCATGCCTAATCTGGCGTCAGGCCATGCCTGGTCTGGCCTGCACCAACTTGGACAATCCTGGTGTGACCGTGTGTCGTGCATGCGGAGTATGTTGTAGGTTTGAGGCCACATGGTGGATGGTGGTATGCCTGGTTTGGCACACTGGAAGCTGCTGTGGCTACAAGCAGGCGCCTGCAACCTCGAGGATTGGTGCTCGCTTGCGGATGTGCTCACTTCGTCGCTTTGTTTGAGTGAGTGTAAGCCTATGTTATGGGCTGATCGTAGTCAGAGGCAGTGTACCACCGTTGTGGGTGGCCATGGTATTGGCTGTGTTGTATGCCGGGCGGCGTGATCAGGGACTGCACGCCCAAGCAAACACCAAGGTGCACACGCGCACTACTTCAATGACAGCTTCCACGAGGATATTTTGTCAGGCGGGGTTGGCATGTACACGCGCACCACGCTGATGGGCAGCGGGCAGCTAGCGTTGATTGCTATCCTACTGTAGATACCTGCAAACGTCAGCCGCAGCAGTTTGCAGTGCGGTCGCATTTTCAATTTTCAGCCAGGTCTGACGCGCCTGCACTGCAAGGATTTGGCCCTGTCGGCCGCAGCGCAGAGGTGGGTGGGCATGTTGGTGTGGCATACTCAAAAAGCTGCCAGGCACATGTACCTACACAATCTGCTTGACAGCGGCTGGCTGGCTGGGCCATGATAGCAGGGCATGCAGGCAGTCCGCGTGGGCCTGGATCACAGCGTTGATGGCACATCAGTCTTGCGTGACGAGGCGCGAGCATGCCGAAGTCTCGGCCAGGAACCCATCCGGCAACCAAGCGTATAGCTTATCAGGTTGATCTGCAAGGTTCAACGCCCTGTCACAATGCTGGTTCTTTTACCGTGGAATGCATGGCAAGCACATGGGGATCTGCAAGCAGCCGTAGATGTATCTACGTCAGAGATGAAGGAGAGGGGCATACAATGCAGGTCGGCAAAGGAAGGTAGGTAACGATCAAGAAATGCCGGTCAGAAATTAGCTGCAGGTGACAAGCTAAAAGATAAGGGACATGCATGGCTGATCGGGTTGCGCCACTCCTGACCCCAAATCATGTGTTTGCTCTGGCTCTCACAAAAAAATGCAAGTGTGGATACGATTTGGTTGAGGTTTGCCCAAACACTTGCTGGACCTGAATCCTCCTGGCAGCGTTATTATGCAACAATCTTACTGCGAGTAGGTGATTGGCTTGCAAGTCAGGGTGGATGCACCCGCCATAACAGCTTACAGTAATGTATCTGCACATTGTGAGTAGTTGGACTGTGCACCTCCGAGATCGCTCCCTTGCCGGCGTGCAGCTCAAGACTCTTACCGGTACTCGGTGCCCACAGAATAATATATAGCAGTCGTGTCACCGTTAGATTCACCCCACACAAACGCACACTGTTCATCGATAATAATATAGGCGCGAATTATAGATCGCCCGGATTGAGCCATGGAGGCGAGCGACGAGCTCAAAAACCTGGCTAATAGCTTGAAGTCTTTAGCAGCAGATGTCCTGGGGACACACCGAGGGCCGCGCTGCCGCGGTGCGGCGCAGCGCTGGCAGCGCGCTTGCTGCTGGCGTGTTGCCGACAGCCCACACCAGCAGCTTTCACCTGTCCTGGATTGTGCTGCCGCCCAAATTTCACTGTGATCTTATGTCCTGCACACGCTCAGCTTGTCCTGCACAGGCCTCACGTTTGCGCCGCACCCGCTCTGTGGCTCGAGGCGGCCGGAGGACGCTAGTCCTGAACTTCACGTTCACTGCTGTCTGCCTCCCTTGCCCCTCGGCTCCGCCTGCTTCGACCAACCCCATCGTAGCCATCAAGGAGGCTCTTCATCTGGCCTTAATCAAATGCACAACATCCCGGGGCATCACAACTGTGCCTGACCTTGCCTTCGCGTTGAAAAACCACCTGGTTCGGTCTGGAGGCGTTTACATCAGCCTCGACCTGCTGTTCGCGCTCGCGCTCATCTTTCGACCAGACGTGGGTCCCGCCTTGCAGCATGCTGGCATGCGCACCATGCATGATTGTACAGCTGGCCGTGTCACACAGCTGGCCGGGTGAATGGGGGGGCCACTTTGCATCCGTCTATGCGGTGCAGTTGCCATCGCAATGCGCTGCTGGCACCCCCATGCCCTACGCAACCCTCGTAATCACCAATATCAACAAAACAAGGAGAATGCAATATCTTGTTAGAGTCCCTCAATATGTCATTCCCGGTGTCAACAACTCCCAGCGGGTCCTTGTGCATGTCAATGTTCCCTCTTTCCACTCTCCTCTCATGCTTCTCCTCGCAACGCGCCTTCCGCCACAAACAACCTTAGTTCCTGAGGGCCAGGGCGGACCAGCTGGCTATGATGATGGTGCGCGACGCGATCGAGCTCAGGGCCACCACAGACGCCCTCTCAATCCGCCGCGGCGAGGAAGACCTGCAGCGTGCGGCACAGCTCGAGCGTGCCCTGCGGGCCTTGCCCGCCGCTGCGGCAGGCGGTGAGCCAGTGATGAACGCACGCGGGACAGCCAGGCGTGGCCCCAGCGCGGCGGCGGTGGCGCAGGCGGCGCAGTCGCGTGAGCGCTTGGGCGGCGAGCTGGCGGCTGTGGCGGCAAGGCTTGCGGGCAAGACTCAGGCCACCCTGCTGAAGCTGTTTGATCCTGCGCTGCTCAACCTGCTGCACTCGGGCACCGAATTCCTGCTGGCCAACTGCCAGCCCGGCACTGTGGCAGGTGAGCCGCCAGCCGCTTAAGCGCACACGGGGTGCGATGGGACGGAACTCGCGACGTGCATTACCAGCTGCCTGCCAAGCACCTGCCACGTGTGCATGTCAGCAGCTTCAGCACGCGCCAGATCTCCGGGCGCTGCAGGTCCTGGCACGCCATTGCAATGCCGCCTTTCCTTAGGAGGTTCGACCCCCCAGCCACAAAGTAGCACCGTGTCTGGCCCTGATTGCATTGATGCGCACCGGCACGTCCGCTTGAACCAGCCAGCGGCTCCCACTCCGTCAACCACCCACACCGCCACTACTAACCCCAGGGCGCATGCAGGGCATGGAGACGCTGGTCGCCGACGACGCGCAGCGCGCCGACAGCCCCCGGGAGAACCCGGCCCAGCAGAAGCTGCCCGAGGCGGAGCCGTCCGAGCTGCAATTCAAGACGCTAAGATCCATGGTGTTCCTCGCCCCCTCGTTCCTGGCGGATGAGCGCTGGAGCGGCTGGCGCGCGGGCCTGCGGCTGCCGCACGGCAAGAGCGAGTTGATGAAGGGGTTCGAGGACCTCGCGTCCCTGGCCCTGAAGCGAAAGCTGCTGGTAGGTGATGCATGGATCAGAGTTGTGTCATGGTGCATCTGGTTGTTGCAGGTTCTGGGGATAATGGGCTGTGTCAGGGCCCTTTCATGAAGTGTTTCATATGCCATTTAAGGAGGCCGTTCGCAAGGGATCACATGGCCCCTGCTGTTATCCTTATACTTAGGCATTTCACAAGGGACCAGCCCCAGCTGCCGGAAACAGCTGTGGCGCCGCCGCCAACACCATTTGTTGACGTCACTTATTGCAGTACTCCCTCGCCCCGCCCCCATGCCTGGTGTCCTCACACCGGCGCCGCCGCGCCCTCCATGTAGGCCTGCATGCACCCCTTTGACTCAGAGGCGTTGCAGGCCGCCACGCGCGAGAGGCTGAGGGCCAGCGAGGCGGCGGGCGACCCTATTATCAAGCTGCTTATGAAGCAGTCCGACCTCATGCGGGAGACCGTGCGGGACGACGGCTCCTTCGACTTTGACGCGGCGGCGAACGTGCTGGAGACCACGCTTCTCAGCACTGGCATCATCAACGTGATGGCCGAGGACGACCTTGTGAGTAAGGCTGAATCTTGAGTCAGCGGCTTGTTTGGGGTACGATTTACCCCTTTCTTCAGGTTGCGCCATTTCGCACACCTAGTCGTCCAATTTGCGTAATCGGACCCTGTCCTGCTTCTGGGAGCCATGCAAAGCCCTGGCACTTGCTCACTCCTGACATCCATCTGCTCCTGCCCCCTCCCCCGCCACCACAGCTCACAGACCCGGTCGTCGACTTGCGGCAGCAGAGCGGTGCTGACGCCACCACGATGCCCCTGCGCATCCGCCACGTGCTTGGCAGCCTCCAGCTAACGGCCATGTTGCAGCCGTGGGACCCCGCCACAGCGATGCCCGTCGTCGGCTCTCTGCTGGCGCACTCCTTCATGGCGGGCAAGGGGTACGCCGCGCCGCTGCAAGCCGTGGCGGTGTCCGGCAGGGCGTCGGCGGTGGTGGTGTCGACAATGGCCATGGGGCCGGACCTGGAGACGTTCCTCAGCGACCTGAGTGCGCGGGTGCGCGACGGGCGTGCATGCTCGCTTTTGGCACGGGGCACACAGTCAGGTGCAGTGCGTCAGTGTGCATGGGCCGTCAAAGCTGGTGTCCCTGCATTTGCAATGTTGCTTCACAGCTGCATCGCTCAACATAATTGCAAAACCCACCTGGCGTCCATGCTGGCCCATCTGCCCTTGGTGCAGGTCGAGCTGCCAAGGGCGCGCGACATGCTGGGCGCCACCCTGGCGTTCACCCTGGGCTCCAGCCTGCTCAAGGCGCTGCAGGAGCTGCACGGCCACGAGATTGCGCACCGCGCTCTGCACCTGAGGTGAGCAGTGCCTGGGACCTGTCCGTTTTGCACGCTCGCTAGCCTGGCGGGCGTGGGCCCAGCTCGTGGACAGCGCTGCCCCACGGTTTGGTTCAAAGGTGTGCTCCCAGGGGCTGACAGCTGACTGGGAAGGCTGGAGCCCCAGCCATGTCCAGCCCTGTGTCTAACTTGCCCTGCACTGCGCGCTTCTCGCCCCTTCTCACAGCGACATCATCTACAAGGTCAGTGACGCGGCAGCTGGCACCTGGAGCTGCATGCTACCTGCTGCTTTGCCCTGCAGCCTCATCTCGACCATGCCTCATGCCTGTATGCATGACTTGATCTGCATGCCGCCGCATCCCCAGCTGCCCCCACCTCGCCAGCCATTTGCCGTTTCGATCCCTCAGGGCGTCGACGCCGCCGCCATCGCGGAGGCCGCTAACAGCGGCGCGGGCCTCAGCGCACTGGCGGAGAAGCTGGCCGGCTCGCGCCTGCTCATCGACGGGTTCAGCTGCGCCGCGCCCACCGTGCTGTGCGACCTGGTGGACGAGGGCACGCCTGCGCGGCAGCTGCTTCCCAGCGCCGCCTACCGCCGGTGAGCGCGCCGGGGCACGCGGGCCGCCAGCACACGCGGTGGTTTCCTGCCTGCCATCAGAGTAGCAGGGGACCTGGCCAGCATTGGAGTTTCAATATGCCAGCAGCACCACCCGACGACTGAGGGGGGGGCGTGACGACTCACAACAGCCTGCCGCACCCGCAGCGCGGCCCCGGAGCTTTGGCGCCAATCCGTGGAGGCCGTGCCGGCGGGCGACATTGCGGCCTGCCCCGTGAGCGTTGACGCGGCGCAGTTGGCCTGCGCGCGTATGCCTCCTTGCCCTGTACAGCGTTTTTCACGCACTGCGGGGTTGCTGAGCGGGGCTGCCCTACGACAAGGCTTCGCAGCAGCTTCACTCGGGGCCTTGGGTGCACACGGGCTGCTGATCCATGGGCTGCTGACCCAATTTCATAAGTGCACGATGCCCCCTCTGAGCCATCGCTGCGCCGGTCACTAACACCAGGCGGACATCTGGAGCGCGGGCACCATCATCTACACCATCGCCAGGCTGGGAGGTGTCTACATCGGGGCCGGCGGCGCAGACGACGCCGCGGCCGACGCGTTCAGGTTCCAGGCCGTAGAAGGCGGGGAGTCCTGCGAGGCCGCGCTGCTGGCGCAGGCCAATGCCATGCGTGCCCACGTGTTCCAGGGGCTGGACCACAATGATGAGCTGCGGGTCCCGGTCCTGTGAGTTGCTGCGGCCGGTCGGCGGCGGGGACCTCGTTCGCGCTGTGCGATTGTTGGTTGCAGGGCCCTTGGGGGCTGTTGGGGTAGCTACGCGTCAGTGATCACCTGGGTTTTGGCGGGAGTCCATACATCCGATTGCTCCTTGCCACGCACAAAATTGTCTGCCAATAGCCTCTGAGTTGAGATCACCGCTCTCTGAACTGGTGCCAACGCGTAGGTGGATGCTGAGCGCATCTCCTGGCGACCGCCCCACCGCCGCCGCGGCGCTCAACTCACTGGCGCTCACCAAGCCGGCGCTGGAGGCGCAGTTCGCACAGCTGGAGGCGGACGCCCAGCCGGCGGCGGCAGAGCTGGCGGCGGACGAGCTGGCGGCCACCACGCTCCTGGGGCAGCTGGCGGCGGAGAAGCGGCTGGCAGAGGAGGGCGAGGCCGGGGCCACGCCCCCGGGGCTGAGCGGCGGGGAAGAAGGCGAGGCGGCAGGAGTCGCGTCGGCGGCGGGCCCCAGGTCAGCGGCGGCCTCTGGCGCAGGTGCAGGGCCCTCCAATTGTGCGGCTGCGGCCGCGGGTGATGCGCGCGCCCGCGCCGCGCCTGTTGGGTCGGCCGCGGCGGCGGAGGTGGCTCCGGAGCCGCCCGTGCCCATCGCCCGCTCACGGGCGCACCGGCAGCTGCCTGCCTGGATGCCGGCCAGCATGCAGGGCAGCGGCGGGGGCGTGGGCCTGCACAACGACTCAGGGCAGGCCAGCTGCGCCGACGGCGCCGGCAAAGAGCAGGAGCAGATGCAGCAGCAGGCGCAGGCGCAGGTGCCGGAGCAGGCACAGCAGCAGAAGCAGCAGCAGGAGCAGCAGCAGGAGAAGCAACACAAGCAGCAGCAGGACCAGCAGCAGGACCAGCAGCAGGAGCAGCAGCAGGAGCAGCAGCAGCAGCAGGAGCAGGTACACGAGGAGGACGAGCGCGATGTCGCTGCGCGCAGCCGCGGCCGAGGGGGCCGCGAAGCCGGCGGGGTGGCGGCGCGGCGCGGCGGCCGTACTGGTGGGCCCTCAAGCGCGCCTGTGGCGGCTGCGTGCGGGGACCAGGGCCCGCCGAGGCGGGAGACGCGCAGCACCGCAGCCGCGCGCAAGGCGCAGGCGCAGCGGTAGGAGCAGCAGGAGCAGCAGCAGCCGAAGAAGGATGCGGAGGGAGAGACAAGGTCCAACCGCCGCAGCAGCAGGGGCAAGAGCAAAACCAAGATGCAGCCCCCATGCACTAGGGCTCCCCCACAGCCCTGAAAAGGGAACAAGAGCGATTCGACACCAGCCTGACGACACAGCAGCGTCTGCCGCCCACGGCTTAGGCGTGCTTAGGCAGGAGACATGAAGTCGGGTGCTAGGGGCAGGTTGCATGGATCCACAAACTCGCTCTTTCTCCTCCGCTGTCGGATGCTCTCGACACAGCAGGGCCCTGCCACGCATGACTCTCGCATCCAGTGGTGCGTGGAATCTCTTCACAGCAGGTCCCTGTGCCATCCCGTCACTGCATACGCCTCTCTCCTTGCGTGCTTACACCATTTCAAGGCGCGCATCACGCACCACCGGCAGCCAATCTGCCTTGTGCACTTTCATAACCCTGCAGGGCTGCTCAAACGCCCCCCAGGCACGGGCTTCTCTCAGGCTGTGGCAGGAGGATGATTTTTAATGGCCGGGGACTCTACAAAACGCATAAAACAAAATGACCCCTGAAGGTGCTTTGCAATGTTTGGCTGCACCACACTAGGAACATCTCCCCTCCCCCCCACACGCGCGCGCATTGTGCTGCCAAATCGGCTCACCCTTAGGCCATACCATCCCTGCACACAATTCACCAGCTGATCACCTGCTGCAAAGCATTGCATCTCTGGAACCCACCCTTATTTGATCCTTTCTCATTTTTTGGGGGTGGAAACTCACGTAGATAGTCAGCCGCTTTGTAGCTTGTACAATGTGCCTAATTTGGGCGTTCACCATAACACAACTGATTTGCCACCTCACATTTGATGCCAAAAAAGATGACAGCTAGGGGACCCTGGGCGACAGCTTGCAGCTGGCACCCCGCCTGTGCCCCTCCTGTTGTTATCTGACTCAGCAAGGCAAGCAATGCTGATCAAGTGTGTTTAACTGCCCTGCCAGTGCTGCCCTGCCAGCCAGTGCCATAAGTCTTGAGGGCTCTTCGTGCTGCTGCATGGGCTGCGGTGCAGGTATCAGGGAGTTCGTGGGAATTTGCCACGCCGAATTCTCCTATGAGAAGCTGCGTGCTTACAAAGGCACAACATAAAACAACCAACAGGAAGAAATAGCAAGCCCTGCGCCCAGACAAAACGGTTTGGAAGCTGAAACCGTTGAGGTGGCTCTGCATCGCAAGGCAAAGCGGCAGGTTACTAGCTGTGGTGGCGACCGCAAAAAGGAGACAGCCGCCAATGGCCCCAGCGGATCTGCTGCTGCAGCGCTCTTGCCTAAAGCAGAGTGCATGCAGCATTGCCAGTAGGCGATGACTGGCGCAGCAGAGCAACGCCGCAGCACTGGCGCGCCGACAAACAGTGACGCCTCTTGGGCGTTTTGTGAGATGCCCCGCCTGAACATTGCACTTCACCAGCTTACCACATAAAAAGTGGCGCCGTACAGCGCGCTGCTGCTGATGGTCCAGCGAAGCTGCGCCAAGCGCCGCGCAGTACCACAAACAGTAACTGTTTCAAGGGCGCAAGCCTACGACATAGGTGCGCAGCGCCAGCCCTGCGAACGGTGATGCGCCGAGCAGAGCCGGGAAAGCCCCACACCACATGGCACTGGCTGGGGCCGCCAATACGGCTGCGGCGGCCTCAAAACTCAATCCTATACACCGGCCGCTTCTCCCGTGACTTGCCCTGCAGCGGCTCTATTGTCCACGTGCACGCCTGGATTGCATCCGGATTGTCACCGGCGCAGTTGCCGACGAGGTGGTCGCTGCTGAGCGGCACCGGCTTGCCGAACTCAAAAATCGAGGCCGGCCGCGGTACGGGCGACGCGAACATGTCTGCGACTGCCTTGGCATCGCCACTGCCGCCGCCTGCCGCCGCCGTTTGCAATTTCTTTAGCCGCTGCGCGTCCTCGTCAAGTTGCTGCTGCCGCGCCTTGGGCAGTGGCTTGGCCTCCACCGGGCCTTTGCTGAATGGCCACCACCCCATGGTGTGCTGCCGTCACTGCGTGCCGAATGCTGATGTCCTGGGAGGCTATGCGCGTCTGGCGAGCTGGCAAAGGCCTGAGATCACTAAAGTAGAAAGCGGCTAAGTTTCATAGCTAAGAGATTGGCTTTTGTGGGTAGACTAGCAAGAACATTGTGCTCGTTCCGCAGGAGATGTCACGGGTTGCGGGTGCCCAGGCACTCAGGTGGGTGCGAGAACGGCTGCCTTTTCAGGGGATATGAATGGCGCAACACCGTAGAAACCTTCATGAACAGACAACTTACGTCATTACAGCCTGTTTTTGGCAGGTTTACAGCACCTTGTCGAAAAGGATCTGATCCGTTTACCCTTTTCATCTGGGAATACCGCGTGACTGACTGTCGTGAAGTGGTTGTTTCAAGGGGCATTTGTGATGCAGCTTGGACGCTCGGCCTGCATGAGGCCGGCGGGCGCACGCCCCGCGGTACGTTGTGCACCGCGGCGGGCACCACTGCCGGTTGCCATGAGCTGGTGGTGGCCCTGGGAGGACCGGCGGTCGATCCGGGAGCCGCGTGCGGCGGCCGCACCCAGTGACGGTCCTGCAAAGGACACGACCGTCCACTTCACAGCAGAGGACCTCTCATCGAGCGCGGCGGCGCCCGCTTCGGTTGCGGAGCCTGCAGGGGCGGCCGCCCCCAGCGCAGCGGGGGCGCTGGGGCAGCCCGCGTACATCACGGGTTCCTACACATCTGGCCGCGTGGCCGCGAGCTTGGACGGTGCGATGCGAATGATGCGCAGGGAGGCGCCGAGTATGCGCGTCATGCTTCACTGGATCAGCCGCCTTCATCAATGCGTTGTTCGACTTGATGGAAATGGAACGACAGGACGGCCCGTCTCGCATGCAGCAGCTCGATTTGACACACAATGCCACACCATTTCACCCTTGTGCCCTGGCCTGATGCAAACCTTTGTGTGCCCAGATCTGGATATCCTTGAGGTCAAAACCCTGCGCCACAAGCTGACACCCAGGTTGGTATGACAGTTCTGCGCCGCGGCGCCCCCGGCCTGCTGGCAGTAGCTGCTCTGCGCCCCTGCCGACCGGGAGGCAGCTGCTGAGTCAACCCACCGGCCCCAGGAGGGCGGTAGGCTGCATGCTCTGGCGGAGGCACCCCACGAAGCCGTGTTGTCCATGAAACCGTACCTCTCTGTGCGGCTGTGTGCCTCCTGCGGTCTGCAGGCCCTCGCCTTTCACAAAGGACAACAATGCGGGCGCCGGCTTTGGTGAGGGTTCGCTGTATTGCAGAGCGCCTCTCCAGTCTCAAAATCATTAGAAATCTTGAAAGCTGGGTGCCCAAACCCCACGCCCACTGCGCGTACAGCGACCCTAGCACAGGCCGCAACCCTAGCATTCCCTCAGCGCCCGGCCGTTGCCACATGCCCGCAGCTCCTTGCTATGTGGCTCAAAGCGTCTGTTTTGATATATGTTTCACAAGCGCTCCTGCAGTTTTAGCGCAGAGATGCAAAACCCCATCACACCCACCCCACCTCTGACCCCGTGCTGAGTCGGCAAGCACACAAGCAATCAGCCTGCTGCAAACTCTAATCGTGCTAACAACGCAGTGGGCGACAAGGACCGCATCCGGCTGCACACTGTGGAATACGAGTCGGAGCTCTCGTCTGGGGCTGCCTGCGGCAACGGCGTCGTATCTGGGGAGGATGACACCTGCCTGATGCTGCCAGAGTGGGCCATCCGCAGCGGGCCGCGCGACACGATCTACTTTGAACCCTCCCAGGTGCGGCCTGGTGCCTGCGAGAGGTTTCAGGGGATATCGCAAATATGCCTGGCCTGGGAACATCCCAGCACAGGGTCTGTTCGCTGTGCCAAAGGGTTCGGTCGTTGCTTTTGCTGCCTTGTGGTTGTGAGCGCTGTCAGGCAGGCTTGGGGATTTCAGCTCATGCTATCAACAAAGAGCGGTTTGCACCTGTGCTGCTAAGAGCCGGCCCCAAGCCGGTTGCCTCTGGCGGCAACACGAGCCAACAATATTCAGCACCCCCTTGCATCCAGGTGACGGCAGCCATCGTGACGTGCGGCGGGCTGTGCCCTGGCCTGAACGATGTGGTGCAGAACATTGTCTTCACATTGACAGACTATGGTGCGGCTCGATGCTTCCCTATGCATTGGCTGACAAGGCCACTGCATCCCAATTCAAAGGCTTTTGCTTTGATTTTGCCGGAGGGTGCTTCCCTAGCACGTTGTGGTTGGCAGGCAGCCAGCTCTACCTCTTCATCCACGAACCAGGCATACTCAGGTTTCACAACGTGCACGCGCATGCACGCAAACGCATGCGCGCACATATGCAGGTGTTTTGCCCCCTGGTACCAACAGCTCAAAAAACACCATGCCATCGAGACTGCTCAGCCAAACCTTCAAAACCCCTAAACAATGCAACTCATATTGCCAGGTGTCCCTGAAGACCAAATCATTGGGATCCGCTATGGCCTGGCGGGCTTCTACAACAAGGGTGCAAAGCCCGTCACCCTGACGCGCCAGACGGTGGACGGCATCCACCTGAAGGGCGGCACCATGCTGGTGAGGGCGGCAGGACTGCCAGAGCCCCAGCGCCTCCTGATGGAGTGTCCTGGGGACATGCCGCGGGGCGCGCATGACAGGACCTGGTTGCAGCATCAGGCACGAGCATCAATGGCAAGGGCGCGCTGTGTTGGTGTGTGGCAGGCAGGCGGTCCTCTTGCGTCCAGCATCTAGCCCTTCTCATCTTGTCCCACCATATCTGCCCACCTGACTGCACGGGGATGCTATCTGCAGGGCACTTCGCGCGGCGGTGCAAACATAGAGGAGATCGTGAGGCGCATAGACCTGTGGGGCCTGGACATGGTCTTTGTGGTGAGCGGCTGCTGGGCTGTTGCTTGAGCCTGGCCCTCCTGCGTGCGTCCAGCTCCCCAAGCTGGCCTGCGTTTAGGGTGACGCCGTGTCCAGCTCATTACCAAAGGGCACCTCCATCGGGTTTAGAAGGGATTATCTGATGGGAGGTGATCACACTTGGCGGTGTTGTTGTGAAAAAGGCTGGCATGAATTGGAAAGGCGCTGTGCAATGCCATGTTGATGATACGCAATCCTGCTGCGCTTTGCCCACCAGGTGGGCGGAAATGGCGGCAATGCGGCAGCCAACGCCATACAGGAGGAGATTGCGCGGCAGGCGAGAGTTCACAGGGGGCATGCACGGGGCCTTGACACTCGCCAGGGTTTTGGTGTCACACAAACAGTGCCTAGTCTCGTGTTCGTGTATGAAGCGCGCGCATGTGCACGCATGTGCCTGGCCCAGCGCTTTGATGGTGAGAGGCACCTGCTCGTGCAGCTGCGCCATCGCCACCCTGTCAGCTACCCCAACCATCAAGCACCACTTTGCAAAGTATTAGCCTCCTTACCTGTGCATGCTTCCACCCATGGTCCCAACAACTACACCTCCCATGGCGCACTCAAATTCGTTTCCTGCTCCTTTCCTCACATTTCAAAGGACGTCAAGTGCGTCGTGGCGGGCGTTCCCAAGTCCATCGACAACGACATCCTGCTCATCGACAAGTGCTTCGGGTTTGACACGGCGGTCGAGGAGGCGCAGCGCGCGCTGCTCGCGGCAAAGGTGTGCGTCCTTGCACTGCCTGCTGCAGCAGTGCTCGCGGGGGTCACAGCTTCCTCATTCCTCGCCATGCTATGCTGCAGTCCAAACTGGCGTTTGCACCCGCTCCCTACGTACCCTGCTGCTTTGCCACTCGCAAGTGCGCCGATCCGCTGCCTTGTGACTCTTCTTACACAAGCCCCCGCCCCGTGAATCTCACCCAAAACATCAGGTCGAGGCCGCCAGCGGGCGCCGCGGGCTGGGCATCGTGAAGCTGATGGGGCGCAACAGCGGGTTCATCGCGATGGAGGCCTCCATGGCCAGCGGGGTGGTGGACGTCTGCCTCATCCCCGAGGTCAGGCGGGCTGGGTTGTTAGGGTGTCTGGGGCAGGGCGGGGCTGCCAGCGGCAGATGGTTTTGGCAGGACTGAGGGTGAGAACCACAGAGGTTTTTAGGGGATGACAGGAAGGGTTGGCGCCTGAATTGCGTTGCTGGAGGGGCTCCAGATTGTGCACACATGCTGTTTGCAAGCGGGAGGTTTGGCATTTGTATGCTTGAATGCAACATGCCCTTTGCTCCTTTCTACATAATCAACCCCAGATCAAGTTTGACCAGAAGAAGCTCCTGGCCCATGTTGGCAGCATCCTGGACCGCAAGGGTCACTGCGTCATCTGCGTCGCAGAGGGGGCGGGGCAGGTGACGGGGTTGCACGTGCAGTCTCGTCTTGCTGTCTCGAGGCTGGCGTCAATGCTTTTCGGGGTCCGCCTTCATCATTGTCGGCTGCAGGCCACAAGAAGCATTGAGATGGATGTTCAAAGAGACCTCAGGGGCTTCATGTTTTTTTGCAGAAGAGGGTGGATACTGGCAAGGTTGATGTATTGGTATGCACACAAATTGTATGCACACCACATGTGTGAGGTGACCGCCGCACTCACTGGCATCCACTTCCGCAGGACCTGGTCAACCAGGAAGGCAAGGGTGGCACCGACGCCAGTGGCAACGCCATCCTCAAGGTGTGAGCAGATGCAGAGTAGCCAGGGGCCTGGCTCCAGGGCAGCGGTTGTGGCCACTTTGTCGTGCTGGCAGCAAGCTTGCGGCGTCCGGCCCGCGCAAGCACGGCTTTTGTGTGATGTGCGCCGTCCATGCCTCACTTGAATCCCACACCCCCCTGCTGCATGTCAAGCTGCATCCCATCCATGCTATTGAAGGAACAGGCCAACTATATTTGACAAGCCGACCAGGCGCGCGAACGCGCGCGCGCGCGCGCACACACACACACACACACACACGCACACACACACACACATTCTTGCTCTCTCACACACCGTCCCCAGGACATCGGCGTGTTCCTGCGCGACACCCTCAAGGGCCACTTCAAGGACCAGGCCGACATCAAGTACATAGACCCCTCCTACCTCATCAGGTGCGGCTGTCGGTGCTGCAGGTCGGTTTCATGGATGCCTTGAAGATCCTTGAGTCCGCTGGGTGCTGCCTCGGCAGCGTGCTGGGGTTGGACAAGTTGGTTGCCCTCCTAAACAGTGCAGGGTGTAGAGCGGCCCACTGCTAACTGCTGGTGAGTCACCTGAACCGTTGTTTGCTTGAACACAGGTCCATTCCAACGACTTCAAACGACCGCATCTACTGCAAGGTGAATGAGATGGGCTCTAGCAGTCGTGGAAAGGGGCCGGGCTCGCCGTGTGCACCCTTCTCCGCCCCCCTACCCCCACGCCCAGGCCATAACAGGGTTGTGCGTGCTTGCTCACCATCCGGAGTTATTGCCTGCTGAGCCATGACCACCTCGCTTTCTGGCACCACACGTGCCCTTGAATGTAAGGACATCTGAGTCCCTCTTCTTCCTCTATTGCCCAGGTCCTTGGGCAGGGAGCCGTGCACGGCGCATTCTCCGGCTACACCGGCTTCACCGCAGGGCTGGTCAACACCCACTATGTCTACCTGCCCATAGAGACCATCATTCAGGTGGGTTTCGGCGGGGACGAGTGCTGGGGCTTGGCGGCGTGGGGGTGTCCACTTGCAAACGCAAGCACGAACTCTGTGAAGGAGGGTTTTACGGCTGTGCCAGATTTTTGAGGGATTGCATAAACAGCAGAAATAGCACAGAATATGTCTGAAAAATATTTAAGTTGACCTGGTGTTACATTCTTGAAAACGTGCGCAGCTCTTGCGCATCCAGCCCTTTTGAGCCGCTCGCCAATACCGTGTCGCGATTCGCCCGACTTGCAGGCCCCAAGGAAGGTCAACCCCACAGGACGGCGCTGGAACCGGCTCAAGACTGCCATCAACCAGCCGGATTTGCACTGATGCATATCCCAGGCCTCCGCTGCTGCATCCATTGATTGGGGCAGATTCCATAGCCCCGTATAACGGTCCGCACCTAAAACCTGCTGACAGAGCTCGTGTGGGCCCTTTTCGCGTGGCGCTGTCGGCATGCATGCACCCAGCATGCTAATCCAAACGACCCTGCATCTCTCTGTCCTACATGTGTGTGTTTTATTGCGGCCCGCTTGTACTTCCTCTGCACGCCGCGAGTCTGTTTGCTTTGATTGCCGGCCGATCTTGTGTGTTGTTGGACGTTCTGCCAAGACAGCTGCTGCCGCCAGTGGCTGCGGCGCCCCTTCTCCTGCATGCATGTTATCAGCATGGTAATCATTGTTATCTGTGAGGGATCACCAGCCGCACTGGCATAGTAATCAATTCACGCAGTCCGGTGTATCGCAAAGCGTCAAATGCGCCTCCTGTACACCTTGAGCTCCCACACGTGAAGGATTTCTCAATCCGGCCGCCAATATCATACTGATGCTGGCAAGTGACAATAAAGCCAACAGCATCAGCATGGTTCTTTTGCAGGGTCCGGGGTAATAGTGCAAATGGTCAGCGGGCACACCCATGCCCGGCATGGGGCCTATGCATCAATGCAGCCTCCAGCACCGAAGCACCTGTCACAGTTGCGGATGTCGCCTACCGTATGATATCGCACGGCACCTGCAGCCCGTGAAGCCGGTTGCAAATACGTCCGTGTGTCACTTATGTTATACACCACTTTCATCAAAGTCACTCACCAGACACCAACCGTTGCGGCACCCCTCGCGACAACCCTGGTCCAGCTCGGGCGCTCGCACGCAATTGCAGCTTGAAGAGCAGGAACTTCCAGCTATTTAATCATCACGCCGCTAGCAGGACCTTCACTGTATCATATGGAGCCGTGTCCGATCTTCGTCTAACACATCTGATCAACTTGACAAATCTATTACAAAGAAACATGCTTTCGTATCAAAGACTCGTGGTCGGGGCGGCGCCAGTGCAGCGCGCACGCGGCAGCAGCATCGGCGGCGGTGACGTTGCATGTTGGCGCAGTGTGCCGCGGCACGTCCAGACCGGAACTGCGATCAAGGCCGTGTCGGCGCCCCAGCAGGGCGGGCCTGCGATTTCAGGCGCTCGTTCGGGATTCAAGGGTACCCACCCTGCAGGTAGGGTTGGCGAACGCGCACAGTGGCATGCTTTTGTGCGGTCTTCTTGTGCAGTGAGGCCCACCTGTTGAGCAAACCAGCAAAACCCACCATGCGCGGCTGCATGGCATCGACATGCAAAGTATCCGATCCCCCTCAACACTGTCGGGCTCATCATGGCGCGCAGACACGCTGCAGGTCGAGATGCTGCGTGAATTCCTCAAGCCCAGGTGCGATTGTCTCACCTCTAGATAAACCTGTGCCGGACCACCCCCGCACATCATTGCAGTAGCAGTGATAATTCTTAAGTTGCCTCTCTTTGATGGTTGCTTGAGCTTGCTGAAGCGCCTGGTAGGTTGGCCAGCCCAGATGGCGCAGCACCCCAGGTTGGTCGGCATTAGCACCGCAACCCACCACCCCGTCGGATCACGTTCCGCCAGGCCCTCGCCGTTCACCAAGGACAACAATGCGGGCGGCGGGTTTGGTGAGTCAGCAGCTGGGTGTCTGCGCATCATCAGCTAGGCAGCAGCATTTCACCCTGCGGGTTCTGAACTCCCTTTGCCCCAAGCTGCAACACGCACGTGCTATAAACCGAGCCACACATTTGATGTACAATGGCCGCCGATCGTCCTGCACGCCGCAGTGGGTGACCTCGACCGCGTGCGGCTGCACACAGCTATCTACGAGTCGGACAAGGTGTGTGCAGCCCAACGCTGCTTGGTCCCCACCGGCTTGGCGTAACCCCAGGCTGCTTGAGCGTGTCTTCATGGCCCCCACATGACGAGTGCTGCATAGAACCTGGGGGCTGGTCAGCCAGCCGCAAGCTGCTCTGATATGCATGTGACTCGACGCTCGTGGGCGGTCCGCAGCGCCTGAGATAGTCAGCGCTCCTTTTGTGCGCGCCGCATAGCGGCTTCACACTGTACGCGGCGCACCGCATGCCAACAACATGTTTGTGTGCAGGTGACGGGCCTGAAGGCGCCAAAGGCGGTGATGGACGCACTGCAGGAGGATGAGGACGCCACCTTCCCTGAGTGGGCCATCCGCAGCGGACCACGAGAGACGATATTTTTCGACCCAGCACAGGTAAGGATGCATCCGAGTGGGCAGTGCTTCCAGCCAGCACGTCGTGCGATGCACTGGTGTGATGCAGCGACGCCTCATCAGGCGCGTTTTGCAGCGACCTGATTTTGCAGCAATAACGCATCGCACGCCTATCTTGGCAACCGTTTTGGCCACCGGCTTTGCTGTATGCGCTTGAGAATCTTTACATTGAGGCGCCACCAACTCACAAACACTTCGCTTATGCGCCCTCACTACTGTCCATCCAAGGTGACCGCGGCAATCGTGACCAGCGACGGCCTCTGCCCAGGCACAAACGACGTTGTCCAGAACATTGTGTTCACCTTGACAGACTACGGTACGGCCTCGCTGCCATGCGGCCCCGGACTGCGTGCCGCCGTTTGTACCTATAGTCAGCTGTGCAGCACTGCTGTGATGCACAACACTACTTCTGGCAACTTGCAACTGACTCGGTCTTCCCCCCCCCTTTGAAACACCACAACCTGCAATATGTGCTGGTCTTCCCACTTCCTGAGACACACCTCAAAACACCAGTCATCCCTCAGCCGCGGCACCGCCCCATCTTGCTTTAGGTGTGGCCGAGGACCAGATCCTGGGCATCAAGTACGGCCTGTCGGGTTTCTACACCAAGGGCGCAAAGCCCGTCACCCTCACGCGCCATGCCGTGGACGGCATCCACCTCAAGGGCGGCACCATGCTGGTGAGCCTGCAGTGCGAGAATAGCTGCAGGGGCGAGCACCGATTGCAGAAACGCGCTTGGCTCGCAGCACTGTGGTTGCGTAATGGCCAAATTTGCAAGGCCTATTATTGCCACAAATGTGCCTCCAACTGCCTGGCAGCACCGGGGCTCCACCACTTGCAAGTGGACGCATCACCAATTCCTGCATATTCCTCTTACTTGGAGCGCATCTCACTCTCCAACCCCAGGGCACCTCGCGCGGCGGCGTCAATGTTGAGGAGGTCGTGAGGCGCATAGACCTGTGGGGCGTCAACATGCTCTACATTGTGAGCGGGCCGCTGGCAGCGAGCCGCTGCCTCTGACCGCATACATTGCATAAAAGTGGCCCAGGGTGGGAGGCATACAGCTGTGACTGCTGCTTAGTTGGTTTTGCAAATCAACAAATTCTGAAAGCTGTGTTTTTTCTCCTTTGCTGGATTGGGCCTCCACCATGCTCGAAGGAGACTTGCAACTGGTGACCTGCCCCGCAGTAGTCTCTCACTTTCTGCGGCTCTCAAAAGCATGAAAGTTATCAATCACCTTGCCACACTAGCGCCGTAACCCCTCCGCACCCATACCTGTAATCAGGTGGGTGGCAACGGCGGCAACCACGCCGCGGCTGCCATCACCGAGGAGCTCGAGCGGCAGGTGCGAGAGGCAGGGGGAGGGGGGCTGAATTGTGATTCGTGCTGCCCAAGGCTGCAGTGGCGGTGGCCACCGGTGGCGGCAGTGCTGCTGTGCCTGCAACAGATGCCAGCACCCAGCAGCGTCCCCCACACAGGGCAGTCCCAGGCTCATAGATCTGCAGATCCTGATCATGCTCAACATGCTGCTAGCCCCAGGTGTGCCCCTAGCAGCGCGTGACTTTCGCCCTTTCAGCCACTTTCCAAACCGCAATTGGCACGTTGGCAAACCGGTCAGGGGGTGATCTGCACAGTGGCGACGGTGCCTAAGTCCATCGACAACGACATCCTGCTCATCGACAAGTGCTTCGGCTTTGACACGGCCGTGGCTGAGGCGCACCGCGCACTGCTGGCGGCAAAGGTGGGCTGCGCAGCAATCTGCCCAGCCCTAGGTGCGCTGCGACTGCCGGCGCCGGCGTCCTCCCGTCGCCAAACCGTCAAGCGCACGCATGGCAGACGTTCGTGGCTGGGGGCTGCAAACTCATGCAGCCCCCAGCATGCTCCATTTTGCTCCTTTCTTCAATCCCAGGCATGTAGCACGGAGAGGGCCCTACTTACAAAACAAATCCATATCGTCCGCGCACAGGTGGAGGCGATGAGCGGCCGCAGGGGCATCGGGCTGGTCAAGCTGATGGGGCGCAACTGTGGGTTCATAGCCATGCAGGCCTCCCTGGCCAGCGGCATCGTTGACATCTGCCTCATCCCCGAGGTTTGTCTGAGCACGCATGATGCATGCATGCATGCGTGTGTTCGTGTGTGCGTATCGCATGGATGCATGGTTAAACATGGTTTTTCAAAATGTGTGCGGGTGAGAAGCTGTGGTTGTGGGGGTGAGGTGGGGGTTACAGGATGGGGTGACAGCATTACAATGTCAAATGGGCAGCCTTTGGACTCAGCAGACAGCGCTGCTTGCTACTGCAGCCAGGCACGCAGGCTCGCTGCGGCACTTCTGAGAAAGCGTTCACCTCATTCACCTCACCTGCTGAGTCATTCTCAACCTTCCCCTATCCACACGGTATCCGCATCCCTGCATTCCCCATCCCACAACATAGATGGGGCCTGTCCACTCGCCCAAGCTTCTTGCCCACATCAAGGCCATCCTGGACAAGAAGGGCCACTGCGTGGTCTGCGTTGCTGAGGGCGTGGGGCAGGAGGAGAAGTGCGCGGGCATCGACAAGCAGGGATACGCCATTTTGAAGGTGAGAGCCGGCATCAAGATCCTTGGAGGCGCAGATAGTTGCATTGCTGAAAATGTTTGCGTGTGCGCCGGGGCACTAGCGGGCCGCAAGGCCAAACCCAGAGAGACCTGCATGCACTTTTTGGTCTGCTCAGCGTCGGCGAGCTCGTGCGCTTTGCGTCTGCACCCTCCTCAAACGCCATGCCTGAAGCTCGCCTCAAATCCGCCCCCCTATCTCCCAAACGCCTGCCTCAAGTGCACCTATTCCACCGCCCCGCCCCCCCCGGTCCCCAGGACATCGGCGTGTTCTTGCGAGACACCCTCAAGGGCCACTTCAAGGACCAGGCCGACATCAAGTACATAGACCCCTCCTACCTCATCAGGTGCGGGCTATATTGTGTGACACTTTCTTTTGATACAAGGTGCTGCGGTGCCAGACAGCAGGCCTAGAATTGGATTTTATAAAAAGTCAATGGGTGGCGTGGCCAATCAGAGGTAAATGCATGCACACACAATATGTTGCTGCCACGTTTTTGACCCGGCCAGGCCATGCTATTGGCCAAAAATTGAGTATGATTTCCAGCCACCCCAACCCATCATTGTTCCCATGCACAATCATCGTGCTTTGCCAACCATGTGTTGTGTGCCGCCTCTGGCCGACCTGCACCCCACGTCTACAGGGCCACAGCCCCTACACCCAGCGATCGCATATATTGCAAGGTGCGGGTGCAGGTTGCGACCTCTGCAGCTGATTCGTTCATCTTGCTTGCAATCATGCGACTGCACACGGTTTGAATCTGCTGCTGCTTGTGCCCTGCAGCCGGCACATACAGGTTGTGCATAGTGCCAACAATCCTGGCATTGTGTTTAATGCACAAAGCATTATCCTCCTCCTGCCCTGCTTCACAGGTCCTTGGACAAGGGGCAGTCCACGCATCGTTCGCGGCCTACACAGGGTTCTCTGTCTCAATGCTCAAGACCCACTTCGTCCTGCTGCCAACGCGCTACCTCAACAAGGCAAGGCGATGCTGCTTTGGGTACACTCCCTATGGAGAATTGCGATACAGCATTGCTCGCAATTTTTGGGAGTTCTTGCTGGAATGCGGAAGTGCAGGGGCCTGGTAGGGACGCATGTCTTTTTTGTCTTGGTTGCAGACACAGTCAAATGCTTTATCGCGCCGCCGGCGCTGCAGTCTTTGAAGCATCTGGGTCAGACACATGAGCACATGGCAATCTTCCACTCTGCCTGCTGTTTGCGCAGGGTGTGCGGTCTGTCAACGTGCGGGGGCGCACCTGGACACGGCTCAAGACGGCGATTCAGCAGCCGGATTTCACGGCGTGATCTGTTCAGGATTTAGATGACAACACCGCGCAATGCAGGGAGCACCAGAACGCTCTGGGAGGCTGCGTCTGCTGAGCTTTTCAGGGGTTGGAGCGTCTCGCCCTTTTGTCCGGGTGGCGTGCGGTACATTGTGCATTGCCTCATCAGGACCTCCCTGCGGCGCCAGAGCCTAGCGAAGCGCCGCGTGGCCCAGCCCTGGCAGAGCCGCGTCCAGCGCCGTGCTTGCGAGGTCCTTCCAAGGCCGCCGATGGGGGTGCAGCAGCGCCCCGCCACCTTGGCGCGCAGGGGCATGCCGTGCAGTGCAACGCAGGCTGCTGCGACGCCATGTTGGACTTATTTGTCCAGGCCGTCGTCAGCAAGGAGAGCCCCACCGCCACCCTTGAACACTCACATACCGGGCCCCGTCTCCAACAACACCTTCAACTCTGCCCCGGGCCTAGCCGTGACCCGCCGCCGCTGCCGCATGATGCTGTCTTCAGGGCCCCGCGCCCCCCGGCCTGCGCTCGGCGTGCGCGGGATGGCGCACTGTTCTGGCGTGTGGCCTCTCAAGGCCTTTGCTTGAGCAGGGTTTGAAGAACGATTTAGTTTCACTCAGAGCATGTGTAACACGATCTGCATCCAAATGTAATGCCTCCCTCCCCCTAGGACAGCGCCGCCTTCGCCGCTGCGGCCTGCAGCCGCCACCTGAGGTTGAGATGGCCATGCGTGCAGCGGCCGCGCAGGGTTGCCGTTGTCGGTAGTTCAAAGGCCACAAAACCGTTGATCAGCCGCTGCAGCGCCCATTGCATGGCACCGGTCACACAAGATATGTGCGCGCCCCTGCCCCGCAGTCGCTGTGGCCGTGTACGTTCTGCGGGTTAGCGCGCCCCATGCCGTGTTTTGATCGCTCGCGTTTTTTGCATGGGTCCCCCCCCCCCGCTTTTGCATGTGGTGCCGGGCTGCCCCCCTCTGCCCCGAACGACTTTGCGATTGGGGGAAAGGTTGCGGCGTTGTGGCTTGAAAGATGGCGGTTTCTCGGGCTTTCCTGCGGCCGCAGGCCTGCCTGGTACCTGTGTGTCTGCCAGATCCTTGCTCTCGGTGACTGGCCACATGGTCTACGTCTGATTTTCTGTATCAGACCAGACAGAATGCAGCGAACCGCCGGCAGGAGCAGCAGGAGGCCAACTCGGCCTTCGCCAGCTTCTTTAAACAATACAGTGAAGTTTCACAAGAGACTCACGACACCTGCGCAGATGCGGCCGCCCAAGCCCGCCCCACACGCGGCGTCGCCGCCAGCGCGCGGTTAGACCACACCGTGTAACCGAATGTCTGTCAAAAAGGACCACACGCTGGCAGCCGGATCAAGGCCCCCAGCCTCTCTAGGACTTGCGAGGAAACCCCACCCCCGCCGGGGGGATGTACACCGGGCACAAAACACCGCGCAATGCCAAATAAGAGGGAGCAGTGATCATTGCGGGACTGTGAGCGAGGCTGCGGCTGCGGGAAAACCCAGGCAATTGCTTGGCCCGAAAGCCGGCGCCTGGCCAGCCCTGTCCCCCCGCCTTGAAAGCGCCCCGCGTCGAAGGGGGGGGGGTGAGCTCGCGATCCATGCAGGACAAGAAACAGCTTGCGGGCTTTTTTTCATGCATGTGAAGTTACATGAGAGAGTGACGACACCCGCGCAGATACAGCTGCCCAAGTTGCACGCAGGTGCTCGGCACCTCGCTACCCCCGTGTAACCGACTGTCTATAAAAAAAGCCCGGCCCCGCTGGGGGACCGTACACTAGGCGCAAAACACCGCGCGATGCCAACCGAGAGCAAGCAATGACCATGGTAATTGCAGGGACACTATCACGGCAGCGGTGACACTTCCTCCGCCCCGACAGCAGGCTGAGCCAAGGAGGGCGACCCGTGCACGAGATCAAGCCCGCCGGGAACGGCGTGTCCGGAAAGCTACGAGGGATGCGCAGACGAGGCAAGCTCAGCCGCTTAACTGACATGTAATGAACCTATCAACGCGGGGCCTGCAGCCCTAGCGAGCGCGGCCCAGGGTCCGCAAGCGCTCCGCGGCCCCCGCAGCCGTGTACCGCGCTCCTCATCCGAGGGTGCGGGGTAGCGGGTGCGGGGCGACCAGCGCGGGGACGCGCCCCGAGGCGCACGCCGAGGCGTCGGTGAAGGTGATGGGACTTGAAGCGGCGGGCAGGCGAGGCCTGCGACGTGGGGCCGCTCAGCCGCTGGCGGCATCGCGCCCTCGCTCGCCACTGATGCCAGCAGGGGCGGCGCCGCCACCTGAGCTGCGGGCCTGCCCGGGGCCGGTTGAGTCCCTGTCAGCCAGGCCGGCTGAAATGGTGCTGAACGAGGGGCGCACCGGGGCAGGCTCCAGGCCGCCCGCTCCGCTCATCTACGCAGCGGGCGCCTCCAAGGCCTCCGCCGAGGGCGCTGCGTCTGCGCCGGCTGCGACCCCCGGCCCAGCGATCGCCGGCGCTGCGGCTCCTGAGGATGGCCCCAGGCCCGGCACCGGCGCCACCGCGGATAGGGGGCTGTGAGCCCCGCCGCCAGAGACGTCGCCTGCTGGAAGCGCTGTGCATTCTGGCAGGGCTCGCATCGGCACGACGGGAGGTGGCCGTCAGCACTGTCCAGCACGCGTGGCCCCTGAGGCTCGATCGGGGGAAGGCACGGCCCCTCCGCTCCGTCATCCCCTGCAGCGGCCACCCGCCCAAGCGCCAGGGGCGGCTCCTCGACCCGCCGGCCCGGCGCCGCTGCCGCGGTGTCCGAGGCCCGCCGCAGCGCCTGTTCCGCCGGGGCCGCCGGCGCTGGCGTGGGCGTTGCAGCTGCTGCAGGGCCCGGCCCCGCCGCCGCAGCGGCCTTTTTTGCCCCTTTTTTTAAACATGTGAAGTTACACGAGAGACTGACGACACCTGCGCAGATGCGTGCACGCCTGCTTTGAACGGCGCACGGTAGCCACCTGACTCTCAGTCACACAAGGCTGGTGCTTTACTGTACAATCCCATGAGCCTGGATGGCTCCAGGAGCGGGCGACTGCGGGACGCTGTAACAATCCTAATCCTAATCCAGATGCGGCCGCCCGAGCCCGCCCCAAACACGGCGTCGCCGCCAGCACGTGGTGGGACCACAAGCTGGCAACCGGAGCGAGGCCCCCAGCCCCTCAAGGACTTACGAGGAAACCCCGCCAG